CTTTTTAAAGCTGTAGAAAAGAAGTCACTGCACAGCTGGGTTGCTAAGGTGCAGAAGGCGTGAGGAGTGGTTTTGTTGTACACTGTACATAAAGGCGTCTTAATTTCTGACGCATCAGCCCTCTTCCTACCTCCCTTTAGGCCTCCTCCTGCCCTGTACCTTAGGGCACATTCAGGTAAGTGAGAGGTCCCCAGGCGAGGTGTGCGCAAACCACTGACTGTAAGCCAACGCAGGGACAGGCCCACAGGGGTCAAGCTGAGCTGTCCCACCATCACCCATCACAGCTCCTTGTCTCAACAGGGGATTTCCCGGTACGCTTTAAATAATAAGTGCAAACATCTTGCGAAGGAGAACTTGAAGGAACACAGAATTGTGTGTTTAAATCAATAACAGCTAAATTCCTGTTACGCTATACATCAGGTCAAAATACAGAGTGAAAATACTTAGACCTGGTTGATGTCAAGGGTGAGATTGTTTGCTGTGAGCAGTCTGCGCGCAGTGTGTAGCCCACTAGAGCCGCCTTTGCTCCACGGGAGCAGCACCCACCTCTCAGGTGCTGTGCTTCAGCCAGGGTGAGTGGGCTGAGGAGGAGCTGGCAGCACACTGACAGGACAAAACCAGCTGCTTCGCACCCCCCAGGCACGTTTCAGGGACAGAAGAAGCAATGGCAGCGTTGCGGTCTGGCACTGGGAGGCTTCCAGAGGAGCCGCAGGCAGAGCTGGGACACAGTGCAAGCATCTGCTCAGCGTCCCTCAGAAAAGACCGGCAAGCGTGTCCCTAACTGGGGGCTACACAGCCCTGGGGATGATCTACACAGTTTTATATCAACCAAGTGCAACTGTCTTATGCTGAGATTCTAGGAGGAACAGGCTAAAGGGCTCTCGGGACAAAGAGTAGTCCTTTTTCATACATTTTAGAATAAAAAGAGAATGGAAGAAAGCCATGCTCTAAGAGGGGGTGAGCTCTATAGTCACAGAGCTATTAACCTTTTGATCAGTGCAGGAGCATGATTAGTATGGACGACAGCAGGCTCATTTGAAAAGGTGGTGATATAATTGATACCAGCTGATGTGATTTAATGGAAAACTAGACCTTTTCTAATGAGCTTAATAGTGCTTTTATGAGAGAGTTGTGCTGGTGAAATAGATTTATAAATTAATATGACTTGCTATCAATATTTGGCTTAAAATGTCATAAAATCCATATTAAATGGACTAAAAGTGGCTAAATGAGACATTTCAAAGTAGTTTTAGTGTTGGGAAGGCATCAGTGAGCAGGCATATGTTGGCTTGGTTCCTGGTCCAGTGATATTGAAAACTTTCTTAGTGATTAAGAGGAAATGTTTAAGGGGCTGTTAATCAAGACGGATGATGAGACAGAGATTTGGGAAACTGGAAGGCAAATTACTCAAATTATAGCTTTTTCTGTTGTCTGATGCCCACAAACAAGAAAAATAGCCAGACAAAAAAAAAACAACAACCACTTATTTCATTAGCAAACCCAAACCAGGAGAAAAAAAATATCCATTTGGGCAGAACAAAACTTTTCCTTTGATACAAGATGAAATATTTTCCTCTGGGTAGTAGGCAGTAGAAGTAGACAGCCCAAAAATGGAGGGTTGAAGCGAAGAAAAACCCAACCAAAACCCCAAAAATGTCCAAGCACTTAGAAAACGCAAACATCCACTGATGTTGTAGGTGCATGTATAAGTAGAAAACACCTGAGAGCATGGGAAAATTGTATGAGTTGTACATTTGATTGTATGAATTGCATGAAGTTGGGGCTGAATGAATGTGCTAATGTTTACAGAGCATCACTTCAGAGAGGAGTAGGCTTGGGAAGACACTATGACAAGAAACCAAAGCTGCTTTGCCTTTAAAAGTTCATCTTTGCCTCATCCAAGAGAAGCAGAAAGGTGACTGGGTCAGCCTGGAGGTACATTTGCTTGAGAAGGTTTCCATGTGAGCAGCGAATTAGCCGTGTGGCAGAATGGTGAGTCACCCCTCTCCTCGGGGTAATTTGGGAAGAGATGCTTTCTCCTCAAAGGCTGCATCTGGGCGCTGGTTGCAAGGACCATGGCTGTGGTCACGCATGAAGTCTGGCAGTGCACCGCAGAGACATGGGAAAGAATGATTTCCTCAGACTATGCTGTGGGACAACATTTCTGGGAATCCCAGTGCTGGCTAGGGGACCCTATGGGGACAAGTGAGGCCTCTCCATGTGTCTTTTAGAGAGGTCAGGCCATAGTCAGTGCCCTGGGACAGGAAATGTGGCTGCATGCAGTGTCAGGCACAGGCACGTGCTGAGCTGATTCATCCAAACTCAGACCCAAATGGTCCTTCCAGGGCTCTCTGCTCCCAGCTCATTAGCCGTAATTCAATCAAAGCACACATGTATGTGGAAAAGATGCAGCCCTTGTTACTTGGAAGGAAATCTTACCCACTAAAGGGTATACTGGAGAAGAAATCAATGGTGGGGGGTTGCGTTGGAAGGGATTTTGTACAAAGAGTACTTGGGGCTGGGGGATGGGAGAAGCAAATCAAGGAGTTCAGCACAGCTCCAGGCCCCCTCCCCACAGCAGGGCACGGCACGGGGGGCTGCTCATGTGGGCAGAAGTGTCACCACGGCAGCTGCTAGCGCAGGGCTCCTGCAACCTGGGGCCATGGGGACCAGTGCCACCCTGGTTAGTGCTTCTCAGGGGTGTGGGAGCTGCTCCAGTTCCTCACCAATCTTGTCTGCAGAGCAGATCAGGGTTCAGACACATATTGGCATAGGGATGCCCATGAGAAACATGGCCAGTCTCCCCTTGTGCACCAGTGCCAAGGTGTCTGGCTGGCTTTCTGAGATGAAGAGGAGGATGAGTAGGCAACTCTTAGCTTCTGCAAGGCAGAAGGGGAGGGCAGAGCAACAGGAGAGGCTCTGTCCCAGCAGCACATGCTCACAGCCCCCATGTCATGCCCTTCTACATTTCCAGTGACGCAAAGCAGCTGTCTTCCTTGCGCTCCCACTGCACACTGCTCTGAGATGGGAAGAGACTGAGGCGGAGAGCCCTGCGCTTTCAAGAGGGCAACAGCCTGTAGTAGCTCAGCTCTGGGCAATGACCATCAAAGCAGCGTTCCCCGTGCTCCCTGCCTCCTCCCACGGCCTGCCGCTTGGCTGTGGCTGAGCCGAGGGGCGCATCCCACGCGCACTTGTGTACAGGGGTGAGCACGCGTGTGTGACGTTTTTCCCTAGCAGTGATGGTGGGAGGGAAAGCTCCGCTTTCATAGCCTTGTCTCTAGCTGCTTGGGGAGGCAGGGCGGGGGCTGCAGCAGGGACGAGTGGGTGGGGGACGAGGGATGCCACAGTGGGAACCGCAGACATTTCCTATCTTGCTGTCTCCTGTGAGCCCCTGGGTGCCTCCAAAGCTCCGCACAGCCGAGAGATGCGTTGGCCAGGGAGCCCCCACCCCCAGCCTTGCACCCCCAGCCCATCCTCACTGCTGATTTCTGCGTGCTGCAGGTGAAGCGAGCCGGAGGTGACGTAACAGACTTAAAAAGTGGTGTGAGCTGCCGCTTCCCTAACAGACAGGGAGGAGGAGGAGATTTTGGTGTTGAGCACAGCACAGTCTGTGCCCTGGGAGAAGGGCCTGACTATGAAGGGTAAGAGATGGAAGGGGTACTTTTGATTGGGGAGCAGCTGGAGCAGCTAAGAGGATATTAAACTGCAACAGCTGGGAAACACAGCTTAGAAGAGAAACAGTACGCAAACCCAAACTCCTCACATGGGGGCCAGGCTGAACCAGCCTGTGTTAATGAACTGGAAAAAGGGAAATTTCAACTGCAGCAGTTCTAGGAGCCTGTATACCCAGTCCAGGGAGGAAGGTCTTAATTGCAAAGGCCTTTCGGCTGGCTGTTGTAATGGCAGTACTAGAAATTTTGTATCACAGCCTGCTCACACAGAAGTCGGTGAATGCAGAATGTGACTTGATGTTGATAACACCAGCATTTGAGTGTCATTAGAGCTGTGCAGTGAACGTGCGTACAATCCACAGAGAAGCGTGACATTCCTAAATCTGGTTACGTGCCAATTTGCAGAGAAATTGCAGAATTTCCGTGTTCTGCACAGAGGTTCCCTGCCCTAGCAAGCAGCCTTTGGGACCTTCCTGACCCAGAAGGTCAGGCTGTGGCTGCCAGGGTTAGAGCTTGCAGACACTTTGACTTTGTCAGCCACCTGAGCTCTTGAATTGCTTGAATGAATGTGCTGCAGTTGCATACGAACAGCAGTAACAATGCACAAGTTTGAGATTCAAATTAAATTAATTTAATTAAATATTTAGTAATTAATTAATCAGTTAAGGTTTTTCCCGTTGGCCCTGTTCTGCTGTTTGGCTTCTCTCCTCCCCAAATAGAAGACATCAGAGAGCTTTGGCACCAACTCCACCAGTGCTCAGTCGCTTCCTACAGATCCATCCAAGTGCTGTCCACTCATCAACACTAAAAACACAACAGTTAAACACTTAGTTAAAGTTTTACACTGCCCTGTGCTGGAGCTGATTTTTAGTCCAAGCAGTGCAGGACTTGCAGGCACGTTGCCTCGGGTTTGGCAACAGGATAGTCACATTCATACAAAAAGCATTTTCAAGTTAGTTAGAGCGTTGCCTTTCAGCACAGTTAATGATCTGAGAGGATGCAGTGTGCCAAGGCAGGGGAACGAGTCTGGGATTTGGGTTGTCTGTGCTGCTGGCTGTAGGCACTAGAGACGCGGGAGGGAAAAGCTCGCCCTGCAAGTTCTGCAGGTCGTGGGCAAAGTAAAGGTTTTCGGGGAGAGGGAGCGCAGCAGTGGCTAGCGTGGGCGGACAGCCTGCTGCTGAACTGGAACTTCTTTATTTCATAGCGGGAGCAAGACTGAAGTGCAGCAGACCATATGCATGTCTGCCCAAAGCTTTCCCCTCTTTTATAATGATGGTACAGGTTGTGCTGAGCCACGACTCAATAAATATTATCCATTTCTCTCTCTCCAGAGGGGCAACTGCCTTCTGCACCCTCCAAGGGCTGAGGACAAGTGGTGTAGCTGGAGTCATTCTGCTCTATCTGGGGACTACAGCAGAACCAGTCGCTACCAAACATCCCCACAGGCAGGTGTTTCATTGGTTCATGCTTTAGCACGGTGTAGCCTCAATGCTGCCACAAAGTCCTCTCTGAGCAGGCACACTTATGCCTATTGTTTTAATTAATCGTCTTACCTCGGGGACTCCCAAGTCCCAAGGTCTGGCTTTTGATTAGGGGCAAATGCAAATGGATAAGTAAGGTATTGCAGTGACACCCATGTATCTAAGGCAGCTGTGTTGTCAACCTCCTGTCTTTCTTTTCCCTGCACGTGTACGAGCTGTCCCTGAATATGTGTGTGCTGGGACACACAAATTTTATATTCCGATAGTGATATGCCCCTCAGAGGTTTGTTTTTTTTTCAGCCTCACCAAAGGCATATATGCACCTGCCTCTAGAATAAAACAGGACAATCTCATCTGCCTGTGTAGTTCCCTGGTGAATTTACATTCTTCTTTCCTTAGAGCTCTGTTTTCTGCATTTGTTGGGATTATGGGAACCTTTTGTGTTTAAAATTCTTGTCCCTTGTTTTCCCCAGGTTGCTTTAAATAGCAGGGGAAAATGAACAGAGGAACCAGCAAAGCTCATCTCACTTCTCAGAATTTATTCTCTGACCTTTTTTACTGTCTGTGCCCCTCTGAAAATCTCCTTCAGCTTTTATTTGCACAGTTCCACCTTTTGCAATAGAGGAAAGCCCCTGAAGCTTTTTCCATCCTTTTAAAAGAATCCACCCCTGCAGCCAGACACCAAGCTTCATTTCTGGTAAGGTTTTCAATCCCAGTCGCTCCTTTGTCTTCGCTTATACGTCACCCTCTTCCTCTTGGGTGGGCAAAAAGGGGACGGGTGCTGCCGCTGCGCTGACTCCTGACTGGGTCACCCAGTGCTGCTGGGCTGTCTGGGCTAGGCTATAAAACAGAGCCAAGGCAGCGCAGCTGGCTCAAAGACGAGACTGAATTCTGCAGACGGAGAAGGACCCGCACGCAGCCTCTGCCGCCTCCTGTGTTGTTGTTTTTCCTGGAATACAGAACCGACCTCGGAAGCAAGATGTGCAAGGGACTCGCTGCGCTGCCAGCCACTTGCTTAAAAAGGTACTGTTTATTTCTGAGCATCTGTTAATGGTCTTGTTAGCCTAGAGATATGCTGATGTATTGCACTTTGTGTTTGACGCAGAAGTGGCAGATTTGGCTCTGATTCTTTTGTACGATTAGATACTAATGATTCTTTACAAGCTTTTTTTTTCCTGTTAGTCAGAAGCTTAATTGCATAAAGGTTTTGTATTGAGCTGTGGGAACTCTAAACTCATCCTTCCCTTCAGCAAAACAAGCAGCTCTTAGCATTGCTGTATTTTGATATTCCTGTCATCTGCTTCTGCCGCAAGCTTTGCTCCCCTTTTCTCCTTTGAATCCTTTCTCTGCTGAATTTTCTTTTCTTGATTTTTTTGAGAGGGAGCAAGGCAGACAAGATATCAAAAAAATTGAGGGTCATTCCACAAAACACATTCCAAATGCAGAAACCCAGCCTGGCAGGACCAGACGCCTGGCCACCGGCAGGCAGGGCGGGGATGCGGGCCAGCCCAGGGCACCGCGGATCCGGATGCGGCACCAGCTGGTGTGGGGGGTCAGCCTGTGTCCCCCCGCTGTGTACTGATGGTGAGGGACCAGGTCAGGCTGTACCCCCGGGGCACAGCGCTGTGGGGCCGGCGTGGGACTGGCTGTACCCCCACTGTGCAGTGCTGATGAGGGTGGGCTGAGCTGTATCCCGGGCATGCGTGCAGGATCTGGCTGCAGCCCGGTGTGCGGTCCCGGCCAGGCATCCCAGTGCTGGCAGACTGGAGCCTTTACACCCCCAAACACGCCCGCAGCAGCATAGTCTGCCCCACAGTCCAGCATGAGGGGGTCTCTATGCCTTGAAGGTGGCCACAAGCTCTCCTGGAGGGGTGTTACTCCCTTTCAGGTGCTATGGGGGCCTGGAGACCCCCAGCAGGGTGGCCCAGGTCCCCAGAATGGCACCGGCCCCACAAAACTCCCTGCTCATCCAGCCCATGCAAACTGCATGGGTCTCTGATGGCGCAGCACTACCTTTCTGGCTGCTCCTGACCCCAGGAGCGCTCCTGAGGCTGCTTCCCAGTGGCTGTGCAATGGGAAGGGCTGGGAAAGTACAAACTAAGACTCAGCCTGCTCCCATCTGGGAGGAAAAGCCCCCCGCTCATGGTGGATTTGAAAACAAGTGCTGAAAATGTGAGGAAAAATTGTTGACAACTTCCCCCTCAATTTGCAGGAACATTTGACGGGGTGGCGGGGAAGGACATCTGAAAAAAAAATGCAAAGGAAAAAAAAAAGTTCACATATTTTAACCACCTCTGTCCAGGATTCCCAAGAAAATCCCTCTCTCCCAGAAAGCTGCAGGACTTGTCGCAAACAGCAGTGTCTTGTTTGCAGCCCGAGTCTGGCAGTGCAGAGCAGCCGGTGTCTGCCTGGGCAGGGCCTGAATGTTGCCCCTGGTCACACGCACCCTGTTCTAATGAAGCTATGAGCCTGCTCTAACGAAGCTATGAGGTTCCTTCGCTCTCACCATAGTGCTGGAGTTGTTAAGGAAACATTTATGAGCACAAGCAAGCAGTGAGATAAGATATGGCCGGGACCGCTGACAGGGTGCTGTGGCTGGAGCAAAGAGCAGTCAGTGCTGGGAGGCTGAGCAGCTACTGGAGCTCAGCCTTGCGGCACAACCTCTTGCTCTTTTCCAGGCTCTGTTCTGAGGAGCAGGAGAAGAATTTCCCGCTTACGCAATCATTGCACCCTGCAGCATGCCAGGGCTCATGCCTCTGAGCAAGCAGGGCTGATTTACCTGCCCCCTCCTTCTTAAACTGGAAGGAAATCCAGAGAGATGCTGAGGCCGATACCAGCTGCCTATCTAGGTGCTGCAATGATTGTCCCGAGCACGCTGGAAAGCAGAACAAAATTAAGCATGCATCCTCATAGGAACTCGCCATGGAGCAGGGGAGTAGCTTGCTGTCGGCGTGGGCTGGTTGTGGTGAAGCTCCTGGCTCATCCCCTAATCTCAGCCCACGGTCCTGCTCCTAGCCCTTCGCTTCCTCCCTTCCCTCTGCGTCGTGGGCAGCGGCTTGGTGGGGTGGCCTGGCACGGCCCCGCTGTTCCTGTAGCCGGGTGATGAGGTTGGGGAGATGGCCAGAGCCACAGGGAAGGATTAGTAAGCGTGTAAGAACTGGACACTGGTAGCTGGGCAAGTCAGCTCAGGGAGAAGCGACACGTTTACAGCACAGTGATGCCTTTCTATCACAATATTTTAACTGTAAACAATCAGTAGGAAAACAGCAGCTTCTCGCCCTTTGCCAGCCTTCCCTCTGGGGTGATGACCTTCTCAGCGAGAAAATAGTGCTGTTGAAAGTGAAAAATTACTTCTTTGACTTTGTTGTACTTGCGTAGCCACAGAAATGTGAGGAGTGGAAAGTCAGCACTGGAGTCGCTAGCTGTGACCTGCATTTGTGTCACCGAGTAATGCTGAACGAGCTTATTGCGGGTGAGGAGGCTGCAGAGGGAGTTGTAACACATTATCTTCATCTCGTTCTTGAATTGTTTCTTTCAGTGCCAAAGACATGAAGCATCGTCTGGGCTTCTTGCTGCAGAAGTCGGACTCCTGTGACTACAGCTCTTCCCAGGGCAAGAAGGAGAAATCAAGCCAGAGGTAAGAGCAGATTCTGCCATGTAGTTAAGCCCAGACTGCCTGCAACATGCTGTTTACTCCTCCACTGAGCTAAACTTCATTAGCATTCTTGGTGCTGCTTCCCAGTACCCTTGAACACCTGTGTGTTTGAATCCAGTGTGGCAATAGTCCTCAGGTATGGACAGTATCTTTCCATGAAGAAGGTCATACTAGAGGTCCCTTTCTGCCAACGTTTCTGTGATTCAGTATGCACGTGCACATGGAAGGACTCGTGCAGTCTCCTGCACAGGGGAATCAGAATTGCCTAGGTTGGAGGGGACCTTTAAGATCATCAAGTCCAACCATCAACCTAACACTGCCAAAACCACCACCAAACCATGTTCCTAAGCACCACGTCTACCCATCTTTTAAATAACACCATCGCAAGACTCGGTGCGACTTGACACATTGCAATATCAGCAGCACTGGTTCTTCGAGTTGGATTTGTGCAGTGGTCCGCACAGCTGCACAGAGGTGTTGGCAAAGAAAACAGGGCAGCCTGTCAGGGTATCACTGCTCTTGCTGAGGTGCAAGTAGATAATATCCTTTCCAAGAAGGACTTCAAAGGCCAGGATATGCTCCTGGAATAGATGAGCACTAGGATGTCCTGGTGTGGTAGGGGGAATGAACTCAGGATGTGCCAATGTGGTTTCTAGTTCTCACGTTCCTCTCTCTTCCATGTAGCTACTGTTCACCTGAAAAGTTAAAGAAATCAGCCCTTCGGAGTTTACTAATGGGACCTGTAAGAGTCATCCCAGGTCCATGTCCCTGTGAGAGATGCAGCCAGTTACAAAATAAACACAAAGTTCCCAATAATTTTTCCAGGAATATTAATTTCAATCCCATGGCTGGTGACGGGGATTGCAAACTGGAATTTCTGTAGATTAGATCTGGGGTCCCCAGGGGTCTCTGTAAACCAAGCAGACGTTTTCTTCTTCGTCTCTTGTGTATGCTTTTACAACAATCAGCGAAAGAGATTTTCTAATGGTACTTAGCAAAAAAAACAAATTTGTCCTTTCTGTACTCCCATTAAATCTTCCCTACGTTTCGCCCTTTGTCTCGTTTTAGGATTAGCCAAGAGGAAGTCAGAAAGTGGGCAGACTCTTTGGAAAACCTGATCCATCATGACAGTAAGTAAAGAGGTCCCTTCTGCTGGAGGTGTTGAGGGTGCAGCCTGTGGAGTGTGTGTGCTGAGCAGTCCCTGAAGGGGGCAGGGGACATTATGTAGTGTCTCAGCAACACACAGCAGCTCCTTGGTCACACAGGCCTCTGGGAGGGGTGGTGAAGGGTCTTCTTGGGCAGATCTGAGGGATGATCCCAAGGTATCGTGAGTGGGGCTTTGGCCTACGGGTGAGTTGTCCCTTTTGTGAGAGCAACAGTTTTAGCCCCCGTACAAGGAGGGGACAATACTGCAGCACACAATTAACAGCGGGTTAAACAAGAGCCAAAAAGTGGAGAAACTGTTTGCAGCAGAGCCCATGGGAGACTTTGTCTTCCTGTCGGTTCCAGGCTACACTCACGTCCTTGAGGTTTCCATCGTGCCGTTCCCATGGCTTGAGACTCTGCGGCGTGTGTTGGCTGTCTCCTCAGGGCCTTCTGGGAACACGCAAGTTGCTTGTGTTCTCCTGGCTGAGCCACTGAAGATCACAGTGGGGGAGCAGGCAGCTGAGGACCCACGTGTGACATTCCTGTGGGGCCTGTCTGAATTCCATCCTCCCTCAGCATGCACGAGCGACTGCCGTGGAGGCAGCAGCTGTCCCCAGGGGAGCTGCTCATTCAGCTCTGGGAAGGAGAATGCAGAATTGCTGTTTGCTGGGGTTCATGCGTATGACTATCTGGGACCCAACACTCTTACCTGATCTGGCTTTCTTCTAAACAATCTGTAGGAGGACTGGCTGCTTTCCGTGCTTTTCTCAAATCTGAATACAGTGAGGAAAACATCGAGTTCTGGGTCAGCTGTGAGGACTACAAGAAAACCAAGTCGCCAGCCAAGCTCAGCCCCAAGGCCAGAAAGATCTATGATGAGTTCATCTCAGTGCAGGCAACAAAAGAGGTATGTGCGCAGAACATTTCTTGAGCAAAGGTATCACCCTAAATCCTGAACCAGGCCAGCAGCACAGGGGAGCAGAGATCTGGCAGTTTCACAAGAGTTGAAGGATGCCATTTCTCTGTTAGTGAGCAAGCAAATGGTGTCATTTTTATTGCTTTCATATTAAACTTGGATAGAGAGAAAGAGCGTTTAGTTACAACCACGTGGCCATCCCATGTGCAGACTCAAATGGGAGAAGCCCGAGAGGACTATGATTCCCAGTGTTCCAGCTGCTCCCATGCAATTTTTTGAGTTTCCTAGCTGGCTGTATCCCAGAGGGATATGTGTCAGTCTCCCCTGACAGTTCAACTGGCAGTAGAGATGCATTGGTATCTAGCTGCACAGATTCTGCCAAGGCTACAGGGTGTCCAACGGCCATTTCAGACCACTGCCCATCGAGGACAGCTTAAACACGCTTGGTGAAGAGGCACTTGGATTTTCCTTTACCTACATTAGCCACTTCTGGGACAGATTCTACTTACGCTGTCCCTTTGGCCCACAGGTGAACCTGGATTCGTGCACACGGGAGAAGACGAGCCACAATATGCTGGAGCCTACACTGTCCTGCTTTGATGAGGCTCAGAGAAAAATATTTACCCTCATGGAAAAGGATTCTTACCGCCGTTTCCTCAAGTCCCCCTACTACCTGGACTTGGTCAGCCCACCCGGTGCTGGCTGTGGGCCCGAAAACTGCAAAAGAAGCCACACTCACACTTTAGACTGCAACTCTAACATCATCTCTCAGTGTGCCTGAACCTGCAGCGAGGCAGGAGCGGGCTGGGCTCTCGCAAGAATATACGGCAGCAAAAGCATTCATTGGCATGAAGCAACAGAGCTGTCTCCAATAGCTGTCTAATGTCCCAGTTGTATCCCATGTCATGCAACAGCCAGCATTTGTAACCCAAGCCAGGCTCAGTTTGTGTAGCAAACCCTCCTCTGATTCCATCAGCGTAGGAGCCCTGGAGTCTGTGTCTGACATGAAAGCTGGGTGCGATCATTGCGTGCCCGCTGTGTTCCTGGTGATCCCCGCAAGCCCGGGAGAGCGGTGGGACAGCACATCCTCAGACCCAGCACTACCCACCGAGGGACCAGGCTTGCAGTGTGACACCTAGCAAGGAGCAGGGGAAAGAGGAGCCAAGGGAAGCCTCGGGAGCTGTGATCTCCCCTTTCTAATCGGCAAAAGCTTAGATGAAAAGGACTTGCTCTGGTCCATAGCTGTTCGTATAGC